CACACACACACACACACACACACACACACACACACACACACACACACACACACACACACACACACACACACACACACACAGCTTGGGACCAGATACATCTAGGGGTCCGGCATTCTAGGAACGTCAGACCCGTTCTAGGAACGTCGGACTCCGGGGCGCCAAAAATTTTGACCGGATTTCAGGCCAAAAACTCAATTTTTATTTCGTTCAAAAAATATAATATGTCCATTTTGACAAAATGGCTGTTTTTTGTAGAAATAGGACTGCGCGAGGTGTGTCCCCGTGCGGCTCGCTTTCTGCAAAATGAGAATGAATCTTCTGCGATAAATGTGAAAGATTCATTCTCATTTCATAGGACTGTAACCTCATTGTGTGCAAAGAGAGAGGAAGAGAGCACCCCGCCGAGTTCGCCACGGGTTCCATGCAGTTCGCCTGCTATTAAGACCCCGACGAGTAGGCCACGGGGCTCCTCACAGTTTGCCTGCTCTCTCTTTATCTATCTATCTATCTATCTATCTATCTATCTATCTATCTATCTATCTATCTATCTATCTATCTATCTATCTCTATCTATCTATCTATCTATCTATCTATCTATCTATCTATCTATCTATCTATATATCTATCTCTCGCTCGCTCGCTCTCTCGCTCTCCACTCTACTTGCGCCAGGGTCAGTAGTTGCTTCTTATTTTTTCTTATTTTTATTTGAAAGAAAAAAAACTTGCGATCGGATGTTCACTTCATCGACCCCTTAAAAACATGGCCTTACACGAGCTGCATATTCTTTTCGAGTTGGGCCAAGTACTAGTGGTTTAAGCGGGGCACCATTGTCAAAAGGGGGGATATTCAGTTTCGTGAATTCTACCATGAGTCGCGAATAGTGTAAGTTTTCTTACTTTCCCTGTGTTGTTGCGACATTGCAGAATGCAGGATACTTAAATGGTAACGACCCAACTTGTATACTTTCTCAAGTAAGACCTTAGGCTTCACAAAAAAATGGTGCAATTGGAAATAGGATAATAAAGGGAAAGTTATGAAGAGAAGTTGCTGTAGAAAGTCCGGTAGGAAACTTGTTTAGGTTCTCTAATATATTAATTATTTCTTTGTCGATGAAAGTATAAGTGAAACTGGCTAATGATGCCAGGATAAGTCCGGGTTGAATTGTAAGGCCCTCGGCCTCGACTCCATTGTATGTGGTTGTTAAAAAAATAAAAAAAAGCAGTGTAATGAATTAGGCCTCATGGTGGAAATGAAGTGCACGATCTTCTCCATGTTCCTAGGTGTTTTGTTTCGTGATCGTATCGAAAGCGCAGGTAGGTGGAGCCCCAAACATTATTACGGCTTCTCGTCGTACCTAATTTAAAAAGGGGAAATTCTCAATCTAAGCTGGTGGAGCACAAGCCTTAGCTTGCTCCCACCCATTGGTTACTCCTTGACCATTGCCAATTATCGCGGGGCCGTCGTCGATAAATTTTATCGATGTCGTTTGTCGCGTTTTGACCACCAAGAGGAGCCAACAGTCGATATATGGTTTGTAACTTTGTAGTACTAGTGGTTCAACTATGAGAGGTAGTTATTCTCTCATAAGATTCTTGTAGTTAAACGCATAGCTATTCTCTCATAAATGTCATCTTTTAGAAAGAAGGTGAGAATAAAAATGCATCCCCTTATTCTCAGGCGAAGCCGAAGAACTACACGACGCACAACCAGTCCTACAAGCCGCATAAGAATAGGATAAAGAAACCGAAGTGAGAGGCAGGAGTAAATGAAAGAAAACGCTCTTGTGCCCATCGGATCACGTATACACACAATTTATTTTTCTAATTAATTTTGTCATATTACGGGTTACCTATGTGTATGACCTTCCCCAAAGAAGGATTGTGTTTGTGAGTGAAGTGAGACCCATGGTATTGTTTTTAAGTCTATACACAATACAAATACAATACTTATTCCAACTGACATCTATCGATAGATAATAAGCCATTGTAGTGCAATCGGTATATATCTCACCGGTATAACAACAGAGGTTGACAAAAAGGATGGATCCGAAGTTCTTAGAGAATATGAGATTCATCAAGTTGAACTTGAAGAAGCATAATAAAACAGGGCCATCCTCTGACGGGGAGTCTTAAATTCATAAATCATTGGGGGAATGTCATGTGTGCAGCGATCTCGAGCGAGCGTGCGAAGGGATTCCACCCCCTTACACACTGTTTGAAATTACTAAATTAGCAACGGTGGATAAGAGTTTGAGAGTGTTTGGATCGACGGCTAGGTGGGTGGGTGAGACCCGAGAGATGTCTCTGCCGCTAGGGTATTCGACATCTCGGGTGATGGAATGGTACCTCCAATGGACCTTGATGGTGTATAATTTATTTTTGGCGAGTGGACGATAATGTTATGAGTTAGCAATCGGTGGAGGGTCGGAGCTGTAAGGAAAGTATGAGAACATGGGAAGACTCGTCCTAGGTGGGAGCATGCAAGGAAAGTAGATTTGTCAGTTGGCAGGTGACGTTGTTTCGTTGGAAGCGGAATGAATTTGATATTGTCGAATATTCCACAGTGTTTGATGGTCACATTGCGAAAAAAAATTCTTTGGTTTATCATCTCAAAGATTGAGATTTTCTTGAAGTGGAGTTGGTGTTGTTTTTGAAAAAAAAAATAAAAAAAATGGAGATTTTGTTGAATTGTAGTTGGTGTTGTTTTAACGCAGTAAAAAAAAATAAAAAATCCCCTTAACTGTGAGAGGTAGCTATGCTTGCAGGGGTCCCTATATAGGCTTAGGAGTAGTGATAGATAGGTAGTGAAAGGTGAAATTGAGAGTAGAGTTTGAGAAGAAAAAGGATGTCAGTGCACCTTCCCAAAGACGGTGGCAATGTACGTTTCTTTTCTCCCCCCCCCCCCACGAAAAGCCCTTCTGCAAAGTATGTGTTTCGATGGTGGTAAGAGAACCGCCAGGATTGAGGCTTTGCCTTTCGGCCTGCTCCATCTATTGGTGGGGAGCGACACCTGCTGGAAACCGGGTCCAATGTCCTTTCCGTCTCGTGCGCAGTGGGCCGAGACTCTTGAGCCGTGTGCACCGCTGCAGGCCGAATGTGCTTTGTACAGAGATCCAGAACCGATTTTCGACAACGATTCCATGCACCTCCCCACAAACGCGTCCAGAGTCAGGCAATCGTTTCGCTAGTGGGGCCTTGGTCCTGGATACGGGATGCAATCAGCAGCCTACGTCTGTTTTGGCCAACAGGAAGGCCGGGGGGAGCGATGGCAAGGTACAAATTAACGACAACGAACGCGGCTTGATCAGGGCGAGAAGGGAAGGAAGAGGACGCTGACGGCTATCCTCTTGGCCGTGCGAAGCTCTCGCTTGTGTCTTCCGTTTCCTCTCCCTCTTGCTCTCGATCAGCGTGTGCGTGTGTGTGTAGCTCGGTGGATCTTTAGTTAGTTGGCTGTTCCCCTCCCCNCTCTCTCTCTCTCTCTCTCTCTCTCTCTCTCTGTGAGGTAGTTATAATAGACGAAGCATTTCTTGGGCTTGCGTGTCGTAGACGAAGCATCGATTGGGCTTGTGTGTCACCACGTTGTTTGATCACCTCATCTTTACACGGTTGAAGCTTCGAAAGGTCTTGGGGCTTGGCTTGTATCTGAAGCAGCAAGGGGCATTGAGGCTGGGCAGAGCAATAGCGTGGGTTGTTGACAGTCTGTTATCATGTGTCGGTGGGTGATTTACCGCGGGCCACGTGTCCCACTTGAGGACATCCTTGTGAAGCCGTCTCACTCGTCTATCACGATGGCGACGGAGCACTACATTCCGAACGTCATCAGCGAAGGTTCTGATATTGTGGACTTGTTACACGTGACAAGGCGCAACATTTGCGTCAATCTTGACGGGTTCGGCATGGGTTGGTATGCCGGCGACCTGGATGAGACGACAGAATCGGACCCTGCGGGCGAGGGGGGAGCGGAGGCGCGGGGGAAGGCGAAGACCCAGCACGTGAAGCCGCTCATCTACAAGACCATAAAGGCTCCGAAGGACGACGAAGAGGTGCACCGCATTGCCAAGGAGGAGGAGAGCGGGTGCATCTTTGCGCACAACAGGGCGTCCAGCGCTGGGGCCAAAGACGTTATCAATTGCCATCCTTGGAGTTATGGCAGGTTCATGTGGATGCATAACGGAACGATTGCTCGCTTCAGCGCTGTCCGTGCTGCCATGTTGGATGAGATGGGTCCGCAGTTTGCCGATCAAATCCAGGGGAAGACCGACTCGGAGTGCGCCTTTTTCTTGTTTCTTCACTTTCTTGCGGTGGCGTTAGCTCATGGCAAAGGTCAGGCGGAGGAGGAAAAGCCCTTCTTTGACGCGGAAGCGGCGTTGAAGATCGATACTACGGCGACTCTGCTGGCAGATTGCATGGAGAAGACGATCAAGAAGGTCGTGAAGCTTGTGGACAGCGTGTGCGACGAAGAATGTCGCAAGCGGGAGCTGTCGTCGCTCAACTTCGCCGTCACCGACGGTGTGAATGTCGTCGGGTCTCGTTTCCGAGATTCGAAGATGGAACCGCCTCCATCTCTCTACTATGCTCACGGAATGATGTGTCAGCAACCAGACGGGTCGTTGGACTTTGTCGAATCCGATTCTGATGGGGACAAGCTCACCCGGGCGGCGATCATCAGCTCTGAGCCCTTGATTAACAATGACGCCTCCATGGATCTGCAGGTTGATTGGCATCTGATCAGCGCCAACCATCTGGCCATCATTGACGAGAACAGAGATCTGACGGTGAGACCGATTAGCATCGAATTCGACGTTGCAGCCGACAAGTTCGTGCGCAGAATCAAGTGGCGCGCTTTCGCTTAAGTCACTCACTCCCACACCGGTGCTGTCAACGGTGCGGCGTCTCCTTCGACAGCACAGCGTCCACCCCCGACGATGCTTCCGCCAATTTTGCCGCCAAGTAGCACAAATTTCGCGTGCACCCTGCTGGCAGAACATCGACGAGACGGATTTTTTCCACGTTTCCGGGAGCCCATCGTCCACCTTTATGTATTTCTGCGCTTGTGTTGTGTGTGTGTGTGTGTGTGTGTGTGTGTGTGTGTGTGTGCGAGAGAGAGAGAGAGAGAGAGAGAGAGAGAGAGAGAGAGAGGAGCTGGTCGTTTCTTTATAGTGAGTTTTTGTGAGGAGCTTGCTTAGCTTACCGGTCCTGTGGGAACCTCTGAACTGGTAGCACTCCTTGTGTGCGTGTTCTTTCGTGAGGCCATTCGATATTCGGTCAGTGGTTTCGTAAAAGAAAAAAAAAAAAGGCTATTAGTCTTGGGGGTCAGCTCTGCTTGGGTACGAGTCCACTTCGATAGTCTAAAACGGCGGCGCTTCTTTTTTCAGCCTGAGCATCTGCACGTGCCAATGATTACTGTGGCGTGCTTACCGTCTGTCGCTGCGAAAGGTTCAGAATCTGTGGAAGGTGGAGTCTCAATGCAAGCGCCGACCTTTGGGTGACGATGGATCTTGAACCTTTGGGTGACGACGGATCCAGAACGCGAAACTGGCGAGCTTTTAAAGTGTGGCCTTTTCGATTCTTTTTGCTTTCGCCTTCTCTCTTTCCCGCTCCTTTTCCTTTTTCCCGCGTTTTTTCCTACTAGGTGGCCGTCTGCATAGCTGGAGTTCGAACTTTTCTTTTTCCCGCGCTTTTTCCTACTAGGTGGCCGTCTGCATAGCTGGAGTTCGAACTTTCCTTTTTCCCGCGTTTTTTCCTACTAGGTGGGCGTCTCTAGTTGATGGCTTTTGTGTCCCTTTAGAGCTGGCTGTATTTCACGTGTCATTTAGTATGTTTATTGCGAAGAAGATCACTGAAATTCTGGAATCCCAGCGCGCCCAAGGCTCAATGACTACAGACCGAGGGGGATTGCCAAAGGCGTGTTCACACTGGGACTTTCTTTTTGCCTGAATCTGGACGTACTGCCAGTGAAATGCGTCCAATTGCGGAAAGTTTAACCTCTTAGTTGGAAACCTTTGGCGGTTGGTTGGATGCGTATTGAATTTCCTCCTCCTTGGATTGACCGAGTCTTCCCCATCGCGCTTTTCGCTTTCTCTTTCCGTTTGCCTTTTTAACGTGCCGTGGTCATGGCTGGCTTTCTGGGTTCGATCGTTTTATAATAGATAATTTGTGCTTTGCTTTGCTTGTTTCACTTTCGGATTGAAGTGAAAAAGAACGTTAGCTTCTTCGCCTTTGACGTATCAAAGGCGGCGGCTTTGGTATCTCTGAAAGCGTCTCGGGCAGAGGGGTGTAGCTTGACCAACCGTCGAGCCGTATCTAGCTTTGTGAAGAATGCGAGGAGAGGTTTCTCTGCATGCTGAAGAGGCATGAGTCAGAGGATCAGAGGCGAAAGGAACGAGAAGGGAAGGGGAGGGGAGGGGAGGAAAGGTAGGGGATGAAAGGTCGGTATACGCATTCAACTTTTGTCGTGTTACAGTGCTGCAATGCGTAGTGTACGTTTACCTGTGAGTAAAATGGCAGGAGAAATGTCATTCCCTTGTACAAATCTGATCGCCCCTCTGTCTACTGACTCTACTGCGTATTTTCTCGTGTATGGTCGCTCTGTGAGAGAGAGAGAGAGAGAGAGAGAGAGAGAGAGAGAGAGAGAGAG